TTTAGACCCTGTTAATCCTGGTTTGGAGCTGGTTTAGACCTGGTTTTGACCTGTTAAATCCTGAGTTAAACCTGATTTTGACTGGTTGACTTGGACCTTGTTAAGTCTTGGTTTAGACCTGGTTTGGATCTAGTTTAGATTTGGTTAAGTTCTGGATGGTTCAGACCTGATTTCGACCTGGTTTAGACCTAGTTTAGACCTGGTTATGTTGTTGTTTAGACCAGGTTTAGATCTAGTTTAGACCTTGTTATGTCCTGGTTTAGAACTAGTTTAGATTTGGTTAAGTTCTAGTTGGTTTAGACCTAATTTAGGCCTGGTTAAATCCTGGTTTAGGTCTGGTTTAGACCTAATTTAGATTTGGTTAAGTCCTGGCTGGTTTAGACTTAATTCAGACTTGGTTTAGACCTAATTTAGGCCTGGTTAATCCCTGGTTTAGACCTAATTTAGATTTGGTTCAGACCTGGTTTAGACCTGGCGTAGACCTGGATAAGTCCTATACCTAGTTTAGACCTGGTTATGTTGTTGTTTAGACCAGGTTTAGATATAGTTTAAACCTGGTTAAATCCTGGTTTAGACCTGGTTTAGATTTGGTTAAATTCTAGATGGTTTAGACCTAATTTTAGTCTTGGTTTAGATAAGATGGTTTAGATGTTAGATATTTCCTGGTTTTTAGACCTGGTTAAATCCTGGTTTAGACCTGGTTTAGACCTGGTTAAATCCTGGTTTAGACCTAGATTAGACCTGGTTAAATCATATACCTAAAATGGTTATGTTATTGTTTTGACCAGGTTTAGATCTATTTTAGACCTGGTTAAATCCTGGTTTAGACCTAATTTAGAATTGGTATAGACCTGGTTTAGACCGGGTTAAATCCTGGTTTAGACTTTGTTTACATGTGGTTTAGACTTGGTAAAGTCCTGGTCTGTACCTGGTTTAGTCCATTTTTTCTCTTATGGCAAAGAGCCCAGTTGTCATGAGTTAAAATGGAGCAGGTCTTTCATTTTACAGCTCAGGTGGTTCATCATTATTAAAATATAAATAAAATAAAATTATACATGAGGGTTTCCGGTTTGGAGACCACAGGATCTCATCTCTGCTGTTTGCAGATGATGTTGTCAGGACCTGCAGCACTGGGGAGGTTTGCAGCCGAGTGTGAAGCAGCTGGGATGAAGATCAGCTCTTCTAAATCCGGGGACATGATTCTCAACCCTCTGGAGAGTTCCTGCCTCAGGTGGAGGAGTTCATGTATCTCGGGGTCTTGTTCTCGAGTGAGGGGAGGACGGAGCGTGAGACTGACAGGTGGCGTAAGGTCCAAACATTTGTGAAGCCATAGTTGTTCCACCTTTTAAAATGCCTCAAAAATAAAAGAATCCACGGAGAGCGAACCAAGTGCGATTCAATAACTCTTTACTGAGGATTCACATTATTAGGACAAACAAATACAAACAAAAAGGGGAACTTTAACGTATAGGAGACAGGAGGTCAAAAAACTGTCTGGCTCCACTCCAGCCTCTCCTGCTGCACCTGCACACGTCTTCAATATGGAGCCGTAGACCACAAAATAATACAAAAATTAAATGCTACTTAAATAAACTTATGATTTCTCACCAATGCATCCACGGTCACCCTCCCCCCAGTACCTTAAGGAACTCCTCACTCCCCAGACCCCCTCACGCTCCCTCCGCTCTCTGCAGCCACCAACACTCTCCAAACCCCCAGAACCAAACTTTGCACCATGGGAGATCGGGCCTTCTCCTCTGCTGCTCCAAGGCTTTGGAATCCTCTCCCCGACCACCTGAGAGCCCCACAATCTATTTCTGTTTTTAAACAAAATCTTAAAACACACCTTTTTACTAAAGCCTTTTGTTAATTGTATTTTTATTCTTGTTTTATCTTATAAATTCCTGCACTGGTTTTAGCTTGATCCACTGTTTCTGATGCACCTTTTTACTCATTGTTTTTACCTGTAGCACTTTGAGATTATTTTATGTAAAGTGCAATATAAATAAAATGTATTATTATTATTATTATTATTATGATTAATATTAGCAATAATTAATTGAAAGAAAAATATAAATAGATTAAATTATTTTGTAACAAATAATCAACAAATAATCATATTAACCATAAAGAATTAGCAAAATACCAAAAATTATGCATTTTAAGTAAATATTAAATCAAACAAAATAAGAATAATTATCTCAGTAATGAAAAAACTACAAAACTGGGTTTAGGCTCCCACAGGTGGATCGGTGCCGCGTCGGCAGTGATGCGGTCGCTGTATCGGAGGGAGCTGAGCCGAAAGACAAAGCTCTCGATTTACCGTCAGTCTACGTTCCTCCCCTCACCTCTGGTCATGAGTCTGGGTAAAGACCGAAAGGACGAGATCGCGGATACAAGCGGCCGAAATGAGTTTCCTCCGCAGGGCGACTGGGCGCTTCCTCAGAGACAGGGTGAGGAGCTCGGAGTAGAGTCGCTGCTCCTCCACGTGCAGAGGAGCAGATGAGGTGGCCCGGGCATCTGTTCCGGATGCTTCCTGGGCGTGTCCCGCTGGAAGGACGCCCTGAGGAAGACCCAGGACACGCTGGAGGGACTACGTCTCCGGGCTGGACTGGGAACGCCTTGGAGACCCCTAAGAGGAGCTGGAGGAAGTGTCTGGGGTGAAGGAAGTCTGGGAGTCCCTGCTTAGACTGATGCTGGGTAAGTGACGGAAAATCAGTGTTGGGAAGGTGACTTTTAAAATGTAATCCCCTACAGATTACAGATTACAAATCCATCAAATTACTTAAAGTGAGTAATGTAATCTGATTACTTTGGATTACTTGATTTTCTGTAGAGAAGCAAAGACGAGGAAACTTAACTGTATTAAAAATATTATTGATAGAAGAAGAGGAGACACGTCCACACAGCAGGATTTAGTCCTGGATTTAGTCCTGTTTAGATCCTGGTTTAGATCTGGTTTAGATTTAGACTGTTTAGACCTGGTTTAGATCTAGTTTAGACAGACCCTGGTTTAGATCTAGTTGAGACCTGGTTTTAGTCCTGGTTTAGTCCTAGATTTAGTTTAGACCTGGTTTAGTCCTGGTTTAGATCTAGTTTAGATCTTTTTAGACCTGGTTTTAGTCCTGGTTTAGTCCTGGTTTAGATCTAGTTTAGATCTAGTTTAGACCTGGTTTAGACCTGGTTTTAGTCCTGGTTTAGTCCTGGTTTAGATCTAGTTTAGACCTGGTTTAGTCCTGGTTTAGATCTAGTTTAGACCTGGTTTAGATCTAGTTTAGACCTGGTTTAGATCTGGTTTAGATCTAGTTTAGTCCTGGTTTAGTCCTGGTTTAGATCTAGTTTAGACCTGGTTTTAGTCCTGGTTTAGTCCTGGTTTAGATCTAGTTTAGATCTGGTTTAGATCTAGTTTAGACCTGGTTTAGATCTAGTTGAGACCTGGTTTAGTCCTGGTTTAGATCTAGTTTAGACCTGGTTTTAGTCCTGGTTTAGATCTAGTTTAGATCTAGTTGAGACCTGGCTTAGACCTGGTTTTAGTCCTGGTTTAGATCTAGTTTAGACCGGGTTTAGTCCTGGTTTAGTCCTGGTTTAGTCAGAGACCTGGTTTAGATCCTGGTTTAGTCTGTTTAGATCTAGTCCTGGTTTAGTCCTGGTTTAGTTTCCAGCAATGAGTGGAATTACCAAAAAATAAATAAATTAAATTAATTAAATAAAACATAAAAATAATGTGAAAACAGGAAAATTCCTCTGTGTAATCCATTTATTTCAACAAAGTAACTGTAATCCAATTCCCACTCACTGAAACAGTAACTGTAACTGAATACAGTTACTCATAATTAGTACTCTGATTACATAACTCCAGTACATGTAATCTGTTACTCCCCGACACTGCAGAAAATGGATGATACATGAGTATAATCGAGTAATATAAGTGCAAAAATGTCCACGCTTAATCTAAATAAATCTTTCTACTAATTACAACGTGACGATTATTACGTTGCCTTTTATATTGTGCAAAAATCTCCTCCTTCTCGCGTTGCCTGTTGATTTTTTTGGTTGAGTCAAATCCCAACAATCGCCCCTCGTCACAAATTAGTTTTCTTCTTCAACCGACTTGATAAACAAACGCTACAACCCGACGCCTCCTCTGCGGTTGTGTTACGAGTCACGCTGCGTAATTACAGTTGTTTAATGGCGACTGGAGCGTTGTTATCATTCCATTAAAAGCTACCGCGTCCCGTTAATAGACCCGCATTAATAATTAAAACAGCCAAACGCGAGCACGAGGCGGAAAAAAAAAATCCATTCAAAGTCCACGGGGTTTGGACAGAAGAGCACTGCCGCCATCTGCCGTTCGTACGCGCGCATTGCAGCAGGTGACAATTATCAAGACAGAAGCGCTAAACAGGAACTCATCAGACTTAATGACGACTTACGCAGTAAAAGCACGAGTTTACGCGATATGCACTGTCAAAAAAAGCATAGATTTAATCGTTTTTGGCGTGATATTTTGCATTTACGGCGTATTTTGTTACGATAATGAATTATTTTGACTTAGATTTCGACTTTAACGAACTTTATTGATCCACAAACGAAATTATCTGGACACAGTAGCTCACTAATCACAATATAATATAATAATAAAGCGAAAAAAATATATAAATAGTCATAATAAATTTAAAATAAGTAGCAAAAAAGAGCAAAAGGCAGCTATTTGTTAAATCGGACGTATGTTATTGCGTTGATGTAAATGTAGATGTCAAAATAAAATAGAAAAATAAGTCATAAAATATAAAATGTCAAGAAAATAGTGCAAAAATGACGATTATTGACAGGACAGGTGATAGGTTGGAGTAAAAGGCCTCGTCCGAGATTATTGTAAATAAAGTGTTTGGAGAAAAAATGAAGGCGGTTTGTAATTATTATATAAAAAGTGAGGAATTTTTATTTAAAATAGAGTTGCAAATGTGAAATTTCCAGCTGAACACCGCCCGAGGCTATGGCGATTTCCTCCGAGATGAGATCGGAAGTGGGTTTGACGGAACGAAGATTAGATTTTTTTTAATTTTATTTAATAAGAAGAGCGCGCTGGAAATGAAACAAAACGGCGTCAAATCTCTTAAATAACTGGGATTAATAATAAATTGCAAATATGGAGTTAGGAACGCGGTTCGTCTTGTTTCCACGTCGTAAATGGAGCTTCGGAGATTAGCATATCGGCACGAGAGCGCATGCGCAGCCGGCGGTTCGCGATTGCGCCAACAGCGGAGGATGTTGCTAGCAGCCAGGGTAGATGCACAGGCTTTTTCACAACAATAACATCCACAAAATTTGCATCTCCATCAGCTCTTTTTTCTGGATTTACCGCGCGGATCGCTGTCGGACACCGTGCCCCGGGAGACACCGCTTCGCCCCGGGGTTCTCTGCGCTCGGAAGCGGCTTGTGTTGACAATGGGAGCGCAGGGCTGTGGAGGTTTGCAGGGCTCCTTCTTTTTGCAGGAGCAGAAACAAGAATCATGGCTGGCGAGCTAGGCCGCACGTCGGATTCCCAGCGCAAAGCGTCCGCGTTTCCATTCTAAATACTGTATTTTTCGCGTGGCACTAGCATGTGAACTGAGGCGCCGCTGGCCTGCGTTACGATTCCACGGTTTTCTTCATTCGCGGTGACGTTCGGAGCCGCCAGCACAGCACTCGGAGCCCGGAGCTTCACAACCTTGACGTCTCGCCTTTCGTCGCTAGCCTCTTTAGCCTGCTAGCTTCAGAGGAGCATCAAAACTACACACCAAGCTCGTTTTCGGCACGCTTTTGTCCTGGATTAGCGCTCGTTTCGGTGCGCAAAGGGGGATTTTACGCACGGAGAGGTTGTGCGTCTGAATGAATGTGGGCCAAAATGGATACCCCTACAATTGTGTACGATTTGGATACATCGGGGGGCTTAATGGAGGTAAGCCTGATCTGCTACTTTTAGGCCCAAGAACAACAAAAATACAGAGTTGATTTTGTAAACTTACAGCAGCTTTTCGGTACAATTCCTTCTCGGGAAACGTTGCGACTCGGCGTATTCTCTCAAAGCTGGTGTGACTACAGCGAGTTGGCATAATTTTACAATGGAGGCCAAAGCTTATAGCACTGCACACTGAAGTTCTAGCATGGAAGTGGGCAGGGGGAAGACCTCCATGTTTGATTGAACCCGCAGTTTCTTTATGTCCAAAAATTCAACCGATTATCTCATTGCAACTTGTACAGCTCCATGCGTTTTAATTTTACTGCTCTGGTTTAGCGTTTTTTGCAAGCTGGAGTTAATTACTTGCTTAATATTTTAACTAATTTACTTAAAATACTATGTCAGCTTTTCAAAAATGTGTTACTAAAATGGTATGTTTTATAAAGTGTCAGAATAAGCTTGCCAAAATAGAATAAAACACGTTTGAAATCATGCCAAACCCGCCCTTGGATCACTTCAAAAAGGCTGGCCATGGGTGACATTTTGAGGACTTTTTTTCCCCCCATTCAGAACTAAGCTGGCATATTTTGTCTTAAATTCTCAATCGCTATGGTAACGGTCCACATATTTTACCACTCTGAACTGAAAGAAACCCATAGGGACAGGTGGAACTTTTGCAGGTTTTAAAACTACAGTACAGGCTTTTCTGTCCATGGTTTTCAGAATTTATGAAAAGTTAGAAAAGTTAGGGCCGTTGTCATGGCAATTAAGAATTCAAAATAATACATTACATCTTCTGAATGATTTAAAAAGTCCTCAAAATGGCCCTCATAGAACAGGAAGCTAAAAACCCAACCCTGTGACTAATAGAGTACCAGCTTGGATGATTGGAATACTCGTTAAAGTTACATTGTGTAACTTTTCTGGTCCGTCAGACGCTTTTCTCTATGGAAGTTTGTCTAGAATGTTACACAGTATGACATTAAAACATTTCTATCTTCACGGAGACCAAACCGGACCAAGTTACAGGTCAGATCTGCGGAGAGAAAACCTCATCAGAGTCAGAATGTCTGTTTTTCTAGGTGTTTTTGAGCAATAAAACCTGTAATTTCAAAAAATGTAAGGTAGATCTGTTTAATGTCACACTGTGGAACATTCCAGAGAGCAACAGCGTATCCATAGCGACAACCAGGTGATGGACGCCCTGCCAAAAAGTTACACAGTGCGCATTTAAAACTGCCCAAAGATTGCAAATTACGTGAATGTATATTATTTATTGATTATTTAACCGTTTTCTTTTCGTTTCCGTAGCAAATCCAAACCCTCCTGGCGCCGCCCAAGTCCGACGAGGTGGAGAAGAGGAGCCGGAAGTTGGTTCGAGATGTCCGGAGAAGCGGGAGAGCCACAAACCACGACACTTGTGACAGCTGCCGAGAGGGAGGGGACCTGCTCTGCTGTGACCACTGTCCCGCAGCGTTCCACCTGCAATGCTGGTACACACGAGCACAAAGATTATTATTGCTCTTATGACGCGGGCGATGGGCTGTAGGGCTGTCAAAAGTTTAAAAAAATCAGATACGAATCGAGACTAAAACTAGAATCGCAACTAGATACTAATTTGAGCAGCTTTTGATACTAAAAAAGTCACATTAACGGGACAGAAATGAACCTTTTTTGAATAGTTTTAGAAAGATCTTGAGCTGTGTGAGAATAAAAAAAAGAACTTACTACGATTTAATGTTAAAATTCATCTTATATTGTCTAAAGAAAGAGTCCATTTTAGAAATTATAGTACCGTGGCAACACTACGAGACAGTAGATATAGATACACAGGGAGTTTCCTCTTCAGTTTGTGTGGGAAGGAAAAGACATAAAGACAGATATTGTGACTAATTGCTGCTGTTAATGGCAGAGGAGTGGAAGCAGAACTTATAGCTATAACTTAACGCCGTAGTATAGTAACTTTAGAGCCAAAAAAAACAAACCAACAAGCTAAAAGCATGTTGTTTTTTTGTTTGTTTTGGTTGTGTTTGTCTGAAAAACTTCGAAAAAAAACCCTGCGTCCTTACTGTGAGCCCGTTCGCATCGACTTCCTGCTTGTTTCCATGGAAATGCTGTCCCTTCTGACTATAATCTTTTTTATTATAGTTATAAATGAATCTATCTCAGCGGAGAATGCTCTCAAAGTGTGGTTTTAACGTTTCATTTCCGTGGAATCGCGCAGGTGATGTGCAACCTTTACAGAGTTACGTACCTTTCCTTTGGCCTGATCACCCGGTCTTAATCAAAATTACACTTATGCAACTAGAAAGCCGCACATGCTGAAGTTATTTAGGTAATAAAACCTCCTCTGCAGCAAAGAAAACGCACCGTTCCATCAGTGTTGTCATGTTGGTAAAATTTCAAAACTATTTAGGCGCTATGGAGAAGTCTGTAATTAATAATAATAGTTACTTCCTTCTAATATTAACTTCTGACGGTAGTTTCATTTCCATCCTAAAACTGTTCAAGAAAGGTCAGATTTTGTTCTGTTTATTTTTCAGCATTGGTGTCCGAGGTTTTATTATGAGTAAAACTTTCTAACTTTGTAGTTTTGACTCCTACAAACATGTTCTGAAACAGTTTTAACGCAGGAAACAGGAGTGACATATTCATTTGTAAACTAAACAATAATTGCGTGCATTTCAGAACGTGTTTGTAGCTAAAAAAATAATCAAATTGGGACCATTGCGATAAAATAAACGACTCAAAACGTAGCTGGTCTTTACTTTTGAATGGTTCCTTTTCAATGGTTGGTAGGTTTTATTAACAATGGGGACAATATTTAGCAGAAGTTGTTTGCAGAGAAAATTAAAAGACGGAAATGTTTGAAATTTTGGGGTATGGGTTTAGGAAAGCTTCACGCAAAAGTTAGAAAAGTTCAGTCCCTCATTGCCAGTATTTACTCTCGTCTGTATTAGCCTCTGGCATTAAAAGACAACACAAGCCCGTGCCGAAGTGTGAAGTGTTTCTTAGCAAGTCCACACTTTTCTCCACGGGCGGGCACTAACAAAACATCATTTACTGCACGTTAAAAGGTTTATTCAAGCAACACGCACAACTCGAGTGTCTCCTCAAAGTTATTCTACAAATTAAATCCAAAAAGTGAAGATTTTTGTCAACAATCTGATCATTTACGCTGTTGTAGTTTCATTCAATTGGGTTAAAAGTTTATTTTTAAATAGATTTGATAGTTGATAACTTTATAAAACATAGGATAAAAAACTGGGACATCCTTGGTTTGAATTGGTTGGTAATAAAAAATAAATAAACTTGTGAAACGAGTAAGTAATTAAGGAAAATTGTTATGCACTAGTCACATTTTCTTTGTGTTTTGGACATTTTTAAGCAGCTTTTCTGCATTTTACTTAATCAAATAACTATTTCTGCCTCTTTTTTTACTGTTGGCAGGGGTCAAATTGGTCAAAAATTGTATAAAACTTGTATAAAAATGGGACAAATCACTGGTTTTGGATAAAAATCGGACTGTCCTGGGTAAAAAGGGACGTCCAGTCACTCTATTCAAAGTTATTCTCCAAATTAAGTGCAAAAAGTGTGAAGATTTTTGCCAACATTTATTGTTGTTGTATTAAATAGAGTTAAAAGTTTATTCTTAAACTGCGGAAATAGATTTGATAGGTGATAACTTTATAAAATATCTGTAGGGAAGTGGTTTGGACACGTTTGCATCATGTAGTGGTGGTTTTATTGAAACTATAAACACATTTGCGATTGGAAAAGAACAGTTTTTAATGCTTTGTACAAGAAAATAGCAGAAGTATTGATTTTGTGTAGTTGTTCCAGCTTAGTGTGTTGTTGTTTTTTTTTTTTTTTTGGTTTTTTTTCCCTAAACTACAAGTGTGCCAACTTTGTGAATGAGTTATCCAACGTTGCTCTTGGTCATATTTTACGCAATGTGGACTGCCCCCTTTTTTTTTTTTTTTGTATTTTAATCACTTTTACGTATTCTAGTGGCTCTTGGGGGTGTTTATTTTATCGTACGCAGCTCTGCTTTTTACATTTTGCCTTTTTATTGTCGCAAAACGCTGTAAAATATATCGATTTAGCGGCTAACAGGGTAAAGCTAACGGTCCGCTGTCTAATCCTGTCAAGATGTTGCTGGCTTCTTCCGGTTATTCTTAAATCTTACACAAAATGGCATTAGAACGATGTCATAGTAAACATTTAAACGCGTTTATACGAGTGTTAATCGTGTTTTAAAAGCGCTGGAATCGGGTTGTTAATGTAAAAAAACCGTTGCGCGCACGTAGCTCGCCTTTACCGCTGCTAAAAATGGAGTCGGGAGTGCGCGACCGTGTGTTTACAATATGGCGACCTCCCTAGCTCTCCCTCTTCGTTATACCGCCATTTTACCAAGCTTTAAACTAAAACGCAGCGAAAACACAACTCTTGTCAAATCGCACGCCGCTACCAGTGCACTTTTGAGCAGGTTCGGGGTGCGGTTTTCGTCGTGTCTTTTGTCGTGCGTAAAAGCTCCGTGCGTAAAAGTCCTACTCGAGATCTTCCCCCCGGAATGCCACACATCTGCTCTGCTCATGATTATTTTAACTTTGGCATGTGGGGAGAGTTGACACAGACACTTGCAGACGACTAAACATTTGTCCTTATAAGGCCAGAGCTGGGGCTTTCAACTGTCAGCTCAACGAAACGCAGGTAAAAAGCGCATCTGAAATATTAAACCCCGAATGAGCTCGTGTTTAAACCATCAACAAACACATCTAAGTAGGTCTACAGGCTTTATTTATTGAAAAAAACAATTGCTCTATTATTGCTGTCATCAAATTATTGCTTTTCTCCACTTTGTTGCCTTTATTTATTGATATTATGCACATTATATTGCATAACTTCTCATTTAAAAAAGCAAAAACACCTCTTTTTATGATTCTACGTTTTAGTTTGAGCCTTTCTTTACCTCCTTGCAAACTGTGATTTTTAGTTATTTTTTTCTATTTAATTAAATTAGTTGCTGCTATGGAAAACTGAGCCTTATTCTGTATTTAATTGCTTGTCCACTAGATGGAGACAAATGCTTTGCCATGTCCAAAACCATCGATTTGTCCCAGAAATGTCCATATTTTTGACCAATTTACACCTGCCGACAGTAAAAAGAGGCATACATAGTTATTTGATGAGGTAAAATACAGAAAAGCTGCTTGAAAATGACTAAAACATGAAGAAAATGTGACTATACTGACTCATGTTAGTCATGAATGGTCTGAGTACAGAACGTTTTTTCTTAGTTACACTCTTATTTCACAATTTTATTAACAACCAACCCACATCAGAGATCTTCGAGTTTTTGTTTTTGAAAATCCCTAATTTTAAGAAGAAATTTGAGGTGTGTCTGTTGCTTTGTCTCAGTTTTATACACGAAATTGCCCCAAGTTTCCTTATTTTTGAACAATTTGACACTTACCAGCAGTAAAAAAAGTTCAAATATAGTTTTTGTTTAAAGGTGCACAGCGTAACTTTTCTGGTGGATGCTCCGCTATCTTTTTGTCTCTTTGAAAATGTCGTTGCTTTGTCTAGAATGTTCCACAGTACAGATTAAACGTATCTGTCTCAAGGGAAACGAGCAGGTCACAGCACTACGCTACATTACAAGTCAGATCTGTGAAGAGTCGGCTCTCTATTCACAGAAAGAATTACTGTATTTTTGAGTAATAGAATAAACCGGACCCTCCACCAGAAAAGTTACACAGTGCATCTTAAAACACATAAAACTGTGCTTGAAAATAAATCAAAATAAATCAGTTGCAATGACTGAGTTCACAAGCGCGTAATAATGTTCTTTGTTACACCCAATTTTTATTATTACAACCACCACAATCGGGGTGTGTGCCGGTTTTGATTACAGTGTACACAATATCGAGTAGACATAACTAATTGACGTGTTTGTTTTCTTTTCTTTGACAGTAACCCTCCTCTCAGCGAAGAAATGCTTCCTCCCGGAGAGTGGATGTGTCACCGCTGCAACGTTAGGAAAAAGGTCAGCGAGTCGGCGGTTTAATGGAGTCTTGGCATTTTAATGGAAATGCGCATCTTTGATTTCTCTCCCTCAAATGCTTTTATGCAACAACAAAACACTTAATACATTGAGAAACATGTTCATTTAAATTTTAAGGGCCCATATTTTGTTTTTTCCTTGTCAAAAACAGACCTGGAGTTGTGTTTTTGTTTCATTCACACATGTTTAACGCACAAAATCTGCATATTTAGGCTCTTCTGAGTTCTTCTCTCAAAAAGAAAACTCTCTGTTCCAGCTTGTGATGTCATGTGGTAAAAGAGGAAGCGCTCCACTGTGTTTTTAAACTCCACACACCTTCACTAGAATGGATAATTTCAGGTTTGGTTAGTTTAGGTTGCTTTATTCATGCTCGTAAGTAAATTTGTTTTGCAGATTTGAGGCTGGTCCCATATTTTACATTTCATTCATTCACATTATGTACAATTACAAAATACAAGTGTTATAGAGCTCTGGTGCAGAATGGTTTGTTCCATACACAATTAAGCAAACTTACCCATCATGCTTGGCTAAGATTACAATAAATATTGAATATATATACCATATTTTCCGGGCTATTAGACGCGCTCTTAAGCCTCCAACCCCATCAAAAAACGACCGCTCGCCCCACAATCCAGAGCGCCCCATACACGAATCCACTCAGGCGTCCCAGCACGACTTCAGTAAACTACAAAGCCGCAAACACACACGGAGCAGACAGCGACCGCACGGCGAAAAACACCCACAGACACACTCATCACTCCACGCCGACGAGGAACGGAGGAACGAACCGAAAAAGCGATCGCCTCCCTACACGCCACAACTGAACAAAGCCCAGAGTCACCGTGAACGCCACAAACAAACAAAACCACTCACCCATCACACTGTTGGGTTTCCTTTAAAGTCTGGTGTGTTTTATTTGTGAAAAACGTTTGAAAATAGACCATTTAATGACAGTGCGCCTTATAATCCAGAGCGACTAATAGTGTGGAAAGTACGGTATATATAAAAACATACATACATACATTTTCCAAGACAAACATACTAAAATTGATAGATAAATAGATTACAATTTATTCATAAGTACAACAGCTGCTGAAACAAAGCTCCTTTTAAAATGATTTTTTTTTGGTCTTGGGACTAAAAGCCTCAGACCAGAGGGAAGCACCGGAAACTCTACATTTTTTGGATGCTGCACGTCTTTTAAAATCCTCTTGAGACATCCTCTGGACAGGTTGGCCACGGAGTCTCAAAAGTCTTAAAAATGTTTTAAATTTCATGTTCCTAAATTAAGGCCTTAATAAGTCTTAAATTATGTTGTCGAAGTCTTATTTTTTTGACAAAGGTCTTAAATTTCATTAACCTATTTTTGTTGTTGTTGATGTTAAATGGAGGGAGGAAAGAAAAAAAACGTGAATTGTCGTGTCGTGAATGAACGTCTAATTTGGAGTATATGCGAACAATACTTTGGTTTCTGGCACCGGCGGCAATGACTAAACGATCAGTACAGTGGAGGAAGACGTTGGATGGATCATGGCTCTAAGTCTACGTTCAGACTGCAGGGTTTAACGCTCAATTCCGATTTTTTTGTGAAATCCGATGTTTTTGCGAGGTCGTTCACATTTCCAATTAAATGTGACTTGTATGTGACTCCAGTGTGAACATTAAACGGCCCCAAAAGTGTCCCACATGTGACACTGGAGACACGACGACGTCAACCGCAGCGAGCGTCTCTGTGTTTACAGAAGTTGTCCAAACATGGACGCAGCATCGAGCACCTGGAGATTTTAAAGTTCCTCTCGTACCGGAGCCAGAACATGAACAACTTACTTGTTTTAAGGAGGAGATTGAGAAGGAGAAGGACGAGGTTTTTGGTCGTGGTGTTTTGTGGGGCAGCGGCAGCGACGTCCGTTGAAAGGAACGTGTGGATGTGGAGACGGAGCCAAGAGTGGTGAGTGGTGATGTGCTTCACTTCAGTCACACAGAGTTCATTAACAATTTTCACCTACTTCAGCGCAGAATAGTGACGTTTGTGTCTTGTTGATAACGTGTAGGTGGATGAATGCACTTTGGCACATGTCACATGTCAAAAGATCAGATATGTATCAGTTTCAGGAGCACATATCCAAGTGTCCTGGGTCACATTTGAAAAAATCAGATCTGTGTCGTTCAGACTGACATTAAAAGATCAGATACAGGAACATAGGGGCCAAAAAATCGGATTTGGGTCACTTCAGGCTGCAGTCTGAACGCAGCCTTAGATTCTAGATGTAGTAGTTAGTGGGTCATTATTAGAATTGGATCTGCTGTTTTTCGCCCACATAATGGGTGCGATCTTGGTCTTAATTTTAATTTATGTGGCCTCTAAAAAGTCTTAAATTTGGGCTAGTCAAACCTGGGGATACCCTGTCTGTAAGTGTCTTGAGTACAGAGAGTCCGGGCGGCTCTGAGGATGGTCAGTCACCGAACTCGCACGTTTAACCGACTGATTCAGGGAGTTTTTGTTTTCAGCAGAGACGCTCGCGAACTACGAGACCGGTGGAAATGTTAACACCGATTCCATAAACGTTTTATAGAACAGCGTCATCATGGTTCTGGTTACATGGTAGAAGGACAATTTCCTCAAACAAAGAAGGCGCTGGTGCCTCTTTTACCCACAGCAGCACAATCATCAAGCTCAATTCTGAATCAATGAGTGTTCCAAGATGCTTATAGAAGCCCGCACACTCCGCTGACGGCCCCTTTAGATCTGTAACGTCATTCTGAGGCGCTGAAATTGCCAATCTCTACTGAACAAAAGGTAAAAGGAGCTCTTAACTTGAGAACCATGACATGTCCATTTCACTTTTTATTCATGACCTCATAAGGTGGAACAGAGCGTTTTGAGCTTTGGAGATATAAATAGACTAATAATAAAGGGTTGCTCAAACATGTGTGAATGAAACGGAACACTCCAGGTTTGTTTTTGAGGAGGTAACGACATTATAACGTGGCT